GTGTGGTGGGCTGGGGGGATGGAGCTATTCAGATTTGTGCAGGGGGAGACCACATGAGCGTTTTATGGGAACCTCAACAGTTATCTGGCATGGCTGTGGGAACACCCTGGAAATCCCAGCACGGAACCTCAACATCCCCTCTCTGCACCCCTAGAATTCCAGCACACTGAGATCCTGGCCAACCATCAACTAGCCCCCCACTCCTACGCACATTCCCCCCGGATGAGTCGACTGGGTAAGGACAACACTGCCCCCCACAGATGTGGTTTGATGGGTACTATTGATTTTGACCGGTTGGATCTGGTTGACCTTGGGGATGGTTGTGTTGGTTGGGTTTGGCGAGCCAAGGTGTGTGTAGGTGGGCGGGGGGTGGATTTGCTTGATTTGCTGCATGGTGTTAGTTGGGGGTGTTCGGGTTTGATAGGTTGTGATGTTGCCTGGAGTTGCTTTGGTGGAGTGGACTCTGTTGGCTGGTAGGAGTAGGCCCCGTCTTGGGTAACTGGATGGGTTTGATTGTTGTGTCAGTGAAGGGCGATGTCATTGCTAGAGATTGGGGAAGCCTGGCCAATTGAGTGCCATCAACACTTGCCAATGTTGGTGTATCCAACGTGTAAAGCCAATGTTGGCCATTGGCCATGGCCAACTGGTAGGTTCAATGTTGGCTATTGGCCCTGGCCAACTGGCAGTTTCAATGTTGGCTGTCGGCCCTGACCAACCAGCAGGTTCAACGTTGGCTGTTGGCCATGGCCAACCAGCAGGTTCAATGTTGGCTATTAACCATGGCTAATCAACAGGGTCAATGCTGGCCATGTTAATGTTGGCCACCAATGGATGGCTAAGGTTGCAAAGCCTAGGTTGATAGTTCCTTAATATAGGTCAGAGGGGACTCACCCACACGGAGTTTGAAGCTGTTGAAGGAGTGTTTGTTGATAATGTCCAGCTTGCCTATCAGGGCCACAGCAAACTCCACCATGATGCCTAGATGGGTGTAGCTCCTCTCGCCATCCTGAAAAGGTAAACCCCACAGTGGGAGAGGATGCAAAGCCACCAATCACAAGCAGGGAACCGATGCCTAGCCCCACCCACTGCCAATGAAAAAGAAGTCAACCCATCCATGAGGGCATACACCCAGGAGACAAGGAAAGGTCTAGAAGAGATGGGACACAGGGAAAGTACAGCAGCAGACACTCAGCCCCAAGGGATTCTGGGAAAATGGGGGAAATTTTTGCTGGAGCTTCAGAAAGGAGGTACCTGCTCATTGTCCTGGCCAGAGGTGGCATTTAATCCCGTAGCGGCCATGTAGGTGCTGCCAATGGTCTTGATCTTCTCCACACCACTGAATTTTGGCTTTGAGAGCAGCTGTAGGATTGGAAATAAACCAATTCAGCCCCATCTCATGCCCCTTATTGCCCCTGGGTTGGCTCCTCAGCCCAACCGGCTCTATCGACTCAGCAGCCCACTTGCCCCAGATCAACCCCTGGGTCATTTACAACATGCTGAGACGCTGGCCCGCCTTCCAGTGCCCAGATCCTATCTGAACCCTCCTCGGACCTCATCAAAATCCGCAATGATCTCGTTGAGCAGCCGCAGACACTCCAGCCCTTCGTGGTTGACGTTGGACTCGGAGTAGAACTCCTTGAAGTCAGGGATGGAGGCAAAGAGAACGCAGACACAGCCGTAGGATTGGTGGTAAAGGTCCTGTATGGGAGAGAGACAGCACGTCATTTACACAGAGCATGGGCAGGGGAGATGCAACCACAACTGCAGCCACAGCCAACTCTACAGCCAACCAAACCCAACCACATGGACCCCACCAACCCTGTCCAGTCTCCACAGTCAGTACGACCAATAGAGTCAACTAATCTCAACCATCATCCTTAGCCAATACACCCAGGTAACCCTGCACTCAACACAACCCACCCCGGCCAAGCAGAACCCATCCCAACCAGCATATCACAGCCAACTCTACAGCTAATCAAACCCAACCAGCATGGACCCCACCAACCCTGTCCAGTCTCCACAGTCAGTACGACCAATAGAGTCAACTAATCTCAACCATCATCCTTAGCCAATACACCCAGGTAACCCTGCACTCAACACAACCCACCCCGGCCAAGCAGAACCCACCCCAACCAGCATATTACAGCCAACTCTACAGCCAACCAAACCCAACCAGCATGGACCCCACCAACCCTGTCCAGTCTTCACAGTCAGTACGGCCAATAGAGTCAAGTAATCTCAACCGTCATCCTTAGCCAATACACCCAGGCAACCCCGCACTCAACATAACCCATCCCAGCCAACCGGAACCCACCGCAACCAGCCAACCAAAACCAACCACCCACCAACAATGCAGCCTAGCAGACCACACCGCACCATCCATGCCCAACCCACAAGGCCAACCAAAGCCAGACATCTCCAACCCATGCAGGCATTGAACCCAACCACTCGGCTGATCACCACGGCTGAGCACCCTAAGTCATCACCATACCCATCCAACCATCCTGTCAACACAACCCACCACAGTTCGCCAACTGCAGCTCACATACCCCTCACCATGGCCAACTAAACACAGGCACCTCCAACTAGCACAGGGCACCAAGGACAACGACCCCCTACTCATGAAGGCATCACCAAACCCACGCAAGGTATCACAAAAAGTAGCCAAATACAATCACCCCTAACCAACGCTACACACCAGCCCCAGCTAACATAGCACCAAGGCCCACCACCTCAGCTCTGCTCAACAAACCAAATCCAAAGTCAACCAAATCCAACTGGCCAAAACCAAGAGGACCCATAAAAGCCAGCACCAAACCCACCCCCGCTGCAGCACAACCCAAAGCAAAACCCAGCCAGACCATCGCAATTGAGACCCTCCTTAGCACATCTGACCACCACTTCCTGAATCCATCCATCCTCTCGCACAAAAGAAAACCCAACCCAACCAACGCTATGACCCGCCAAACCCAACCACCACCCAACCCGACAAGCCCATCAAGAAGCCTCCAATACATCCTACACAGATCCCACAGTAGCAATTCAACACCAGAGTTGGAACCACTCAGAGCTACCAAAGGGATTAGCTCGTTCGCACTCATCCAAACAGCAGCAGGTGCAGAGAAGGGATCCTGGGATGGAGAATCGGTCTGACAAGAGGCAAACGAGCTGGGGTAGTTTATCCTAAAATGCATAACCGCATTGGGCGGGAGGACCCCCCAGGGAGGGGAAGAGCTAACGGAGCTGAAGGACAATGCCGGCCCAAGAACAAATGGGATAAACTCACTTGGGGGAAACTGAGGCTAGAGAAGAGAAGAAGGTTGCTGACCACCAGCAAAAGGAGGGTCTATTGGGGAGTGTAAAAACACCCTAGTGTGAAAGCAAAGCTCCACACGCCCTACTGGCCTCCGCCACACATGAGGAGTGGGATGGGGCCCAAGCATCTCCCTATGACTGAAGGAACCAGGATGGGGCAAGTCAAACATGTCTTTTGCCTCTCGATTCATAATTGGCCAGACGCCTCCTGAGGAATTTTTTTCCCACCGTCCTCTGAAGGGTCGGCAGAGCGGCCACAGCTGGAGATGGGACGTTGGATGGGGTGGAGCAGGGCTGTGAGGTGGTTCAAGGAAGCCTCCCTCTGGATATCTCCGCTGCTCCGGGCTACCACATTTGTGTTGGGAAAGCAACCTCCCCCCTGTACTGACCTGCCACAAACCCAGGGGGGCGGCAGCTCCCATTGGCTGTGGGTCACCATTCCCGGCCAATGGGAGCTGTGGTGGCCTGTACCTGCGGCAGACCACCAGGCGCTAACCCTGGTGAACCACCCCCGTTCATTGCCCTCCCCTGGTCTAGACGGTGCTTGGTCCTGCCGTGGACTTGCTGCCCTCGAGGTCCCTTCCTGTTCTACGAGTCCACGAAGTTCTCCCAGTCCCGAGCTCATTTCCTTCCGGCAGCATTCCCCGACGTGGCCACAGGGTGGCAGCTCTGGCACGTCGAAGGGCGGCAGCCAGAAACTGCCGGCTTAAAGGGGAGGGGAGCGACCAGCCTGACCTCGTTCCGCCGGTTCTGGCCGATGAACTGTTGCGCCACGTCGGCCGGGAGCACGTTCTCCAGCAGGACCCGGTTGAGGTTCTCCATGGTCTCGATCTCCTCCCGCTCCTTCTTGAACTTCTTCTTCCACAGGAAGTCCAGGCGGCAATAGTACTCGTTCTTGGAGGGAGACACGGAGGGGCCCAGCCCGTGGGTGGCCCGGAACTCCCCACCGCCCAAGGGAGGAGACTGGGACCCAGGGATGGGCCGTTGGACCCAGGCATCCGGGAGAGGGGGCCCAGCATCAGGACGGACTAGGATGGAGACGGGAACCCAGCAGCTCCCAGCCCGGAAGGGGGAGGGAAAGGGAGAGGGGGACAGGACCCAAAGGGTCTGGCCTAGCTGCACCTCCCCCCACGGGGCCCCGGTCTCACTTGTCTAGCCAAGGCCAGCAGGGTGAAGAAGAAGACGAAGAGAGAAACGGCTCCCATCAGCTTGGGCTCCTTCAGGACCCCTGGTCTGAGGAGAGGAGAGAAACCCGGGTAGCAGAGAGAGCCACTGTCTCGCTGCATGCAGCCCGCCCCGGTCTGC